GGCCGGGCTGTCCTGGGCCGTGTTCCGCTGGGGCGCTGCCGGGTGGAGAACAGGCGGTATGTCTGTGGCACCTTGGGTATGTCTGCCTTGAAAATGACCTGGGCGTGTAGAGTGAGCTCATAACCTTTTTCTCTTGTCTTTTTTTTCTTCTGTTTTGCTTTTTAGGAAGGTGTCATTACTACACAGCCCGGATAATGAGAGAAACCACAAGTGTTCTAAGTAATAAAGTAATCAAACGGGAAGTATACCTAGCGTGAAGACATTGTCAGGTCTGTCACAGGTAAAAAATGAAAGAGAAACAGAAAACTAGATGGCTGGAAGAAGAAAAACATTCATTCACCAGCTGTGGCTTTCTGGTAGTTTGAGGCAGTAGTACAGCAGCTGTGAAACTTATAAATGCTGATGGCAGGTGATAATTGTTCTGGGTGTAGTAGTGCTATCGTGTCAGAATTCAGATGTGATGCATCTTTAAAAATCATGTAAAAAGTGTACTGACATGGAAATTTGTTGGGCTTTAGGAAGCATAACCCCAGTATATGAAATAGCCAAAGTATGTGTCCTTTCCAAAAAGAACATGAAAGAAAAACAAACAAAAAAAAACCCCTTGTTTGATTCCTTTTCTCTGGGTTCAAAACTTGTAAGCTTTTTTGTTTTGTGTGAGTAGGACAAAAGGTTTCTTCCATGAGGAAACATTGTTCGTCAAGTGCCCTTCAAACTAGGAGTCTTTAAGCATATTTTGTTGGACTCATTTCAGTGACTGTGATTTATTTGGTGTTAATTCTTTTCTAGAATTCTAAATCGGGCTTGTGGCTGAGTTCATTCCTTTTAAGTAGTTTTGAATAGTCGTTTAAGCCAATGCTAAAGATAAGTTTATCTGCACCTGACTGCTGTCACTTTACAGGGCAATTGGCAATGTTCGTGTACAGTGAACTGTATAAGTTGATCAGATAAGAAACTTTTTTAAATACACTCATTTACCTTTAGGTTAGATTTAATTCAGGTAACTGCCATCTGATTTGCTCTGCAGATTGCATGAATGTTCATGCTGACACAAGAGAACACGAGAGCAAGATCATTTCCAATTGCAGTAATAGTTCTTCAGCGTGACTGCATAATGTTAGTGTGAATTTTAAAACCCTTAAACCCTATTTCGGTAGGAAGAATATACTTCTTCACCCTTAAATAATTAATTAAATATATTTTTGCCCGAGATTGAAGGACTTTTTCTCCTCCAAATTGATTTGCCAAACAAAAGCGCGTGCGTGCTGAAACTCCTCCTTGGGGTTCTGAACAAGCCAAACCAGAACATTATGACAGCATTAAAAAGAAATTAACCATGGCACATATCTCTGAACTGCTATTTCTGACTGAAGCTTCTGTCGATACTGCATCATTTGAATCACTATACAAGCCTGTTATGGCTGTTATCTTCTAAATGCGTATATATTTGCATATGAGCTTTCCTATTGCAGTGAATGCAATGGCTTGTGCATAAAGTAAATTTATGGAAGTCTGCTGGATGATGTTTTTTTATGGGGAGACTAATTTTTAAGTGATTCCTATATGATGGAAAGAAAATGACCTTAATTATTTTCAAAACCCAACAATATTTCTAGAAGCACATGATTTTTAAAGAAAATAAGTTTACATTACTAATTAGAAGCTAACTTTTAGAATTTCCAACTATTGTAGAGTACTAAATCACGAAAACCCTTTTCTTCCTGCAGAGCAGCCTTTGAAGTGTATGTATATAATTTGTATGCTGATGATTTTGTGTCTTGAATAATCATAATCATCCATGTATTGTTCACAGTGTATTTCCAAGCGTGTCTTGTCTATTGTCTACTGACATTGAATGGGGATTATAGACTGTATTAGTAATGTTGTACAGATAATCTGTATTCTCCAGATAAATTATTCTTAATGGAGTTTTCTGTGTTCTTGTGGATTTTTTAATTGCTTTATTTCCCCGCTGTGTCTTCAAGGTCAGCTGTATCTTAAATCCAGGATTCTCTGTCACGTAATAGCTGTTGTACAATAACCTTTAATGTACTTCTGGAAATGAACTGCAGGTCTCTTTCCCAGGGTGGAAGTCAGTATGCCTTTATTTTCTGATTGTACTGTTTCCTGCTATTAAAAAGTTTATTTGCAAGAGAATATTTGAAGTCTGAAATGCTTTTGTTACTCTTATTACTATTACATTCTCTTGCAAGTCATACAGCCCCACTGTTGTTGGGATAAACTCTCTGTAAGAACTTAATGGACATCAGGTTAATCCCATAGATTCTTTTTGTGGATCTGTATCCACACATGCTGAAATTTGCAATGACAGGATGAAAAACAAGATGTTTCTGTCTGGGCCTTGCCCAGAGTTCTGAAGCACTGGGCGGCAAAGGAGGGGACTAACAAAGTCTTGCACACTGTGTGAGTACAAACCTCTGAAACCACACGAGTGCACGCCGAGTCTGCAGTACTAGTGACCAATGTGCAATTTAACTCCAACCCTCAGTTGGAGTAATGCAGCATCCTGGCTCCTCCCTCATGGTTAACTTTTTGCAAATGAAAGTTAGCAATGTCTGTGATGCCGGTCAAGGGTTATCGGAACCAATTTCTATTGCATTTTGCCTCTTTCACTGGGATCTTTTTTGATGATTCCGATTCAAATTCAATGAATGCAGAGAAGCTGTGGCTGCCCCCTCCCTGGAAGGGTTCAAGGCCAGGTTGGGTGGGGCTTTGGGCAACCTGATCTAGTGGAGGGTGTCCCTGCCCATTGCAGGTTGGAACTGGATGGGCTTTAATGTCCCTTCCAACCCAAACCAGCCTGTGATTCTGATTTTAGTTTTGCATCAGGTTTTCAGTATAAGGAAATCTAGAGAACACTTGGCCTTGCAGCACTCTACTTCTTTGTGAGGGTGTTGTTTGTGTCGGGGTCTGCCCAAATGACGTGGTTTTGTGCACCAGCAGAGCTTTCCAAATGACCTGTACTAAGCAATTTACTCAGCAATCTGTATTCTGGCCTACAGCTACTTCCCTCCCTTCTAAGTTACAAGCAACCACTCCGAGTCCAGTCCTCTCTTCCACCTGAGCTGCTGCAAGCATTCAGCCAGCCTGAGGAGGTGGTGGCAATCTCCCGTGCTGCTCTGTGGGCAGCACATGCTAACGGAAAGACAGACATTTATATCACCATGAAGGAGCTAAAGGGAGGGAATCCGAGTCATCTTTCATTTTCCCTGTTTGCTTGCCCCAGCCCAGGAGTGACAGGTTGCCCCTCTTTCGCTGCACAAGCCTTGCTAACCACCGGTGTTAAGACCAACCTTTTAAATAAAAGTATGTGAACTTTTTCCAAAGTTTCAGTGAAGGCTGCGCACCGACAAAAATGTTACTTTTTCTGTTTTGCAAACTCAGTGCCAGCTTGCTTTCCTTCTCCACTGCTGTTTTCACCCTGGAACGATACTGTATGTTTAAGTAAACTTTCATTTGCAAAGTGTCCCAGGATCAATGGGATCCTTCAAAACCAATTAGGCATAAAGGGTTTGTGTATGATGATATTGCTAGGAAAACAAGGTTGGCGATTGTCCAGATATGCAAATGCCTAGTTTCATTTGTCAATTAATTACGATCGTTAACTGTTCACCTTGTCTGTGGAGCTGTCTTTGTTGTCAGGTCTCCCTAACGAGTGTTCAAATACATCCTTTACAGTTGGTATGTTCCCTCGCTTCCCCAGCATTTATAGCACACCCATCCTTTTAAAAATACTCGGTCAAAAACACAGAAGCAAGTTATTCACTAATGAGTTGTCCTGAACTTTGACGCAATCCACAGTCTGTTGATAGGTTTAGAAGCACAACTCGAGGGAGACCCTGCAAGCTTCCCTAAAATACAATGCAAATCAGACCTTAGCGTGGAATTCTGCTAAATGCTAATCTGGGATACATTCTTTGAATTGCAGATGTATGCTAGAGTTACTGATGGTTTGTAAT